AATTCTCAAGATCAGATTGCTGCAATAGTCTCCTCTTTGGTATATGTGACTATCAGATTAAAAAGTTACAAGTTATTCAAAACTCAGCTGCAAGACTGGTTTGTCAAATAAAGTGCAATAGTACACACCATTTCACTCCCATTCTGAAAGAATTACACTGGCTGCCTGTGAAGCAGAGGATTGATTATAAAGTACTTTGTATTATTTTAGGGCGATCCATACACAAGGACCAATATGTTTATCTGATATTATCTGTTTTAACTCACCACGGTGGTCCACACATTTTAATACTGAGATTGACCTTATTTTAGAACATTCTGTTTTAGAGAAGGGGTCTCTCAAAGTTATGGCGATCGGGTTTTTACAATCTACGCCCCCAAAGTGTGGAATGCCTCAACAAATTTTATTATAACAGCAGAAGACTTTGACAGTTTAAACTCCCTTCTAAAGACCCACATTTTTAATCTGTCTATTGCTCTTAGATCTTTTTATATATTTAAATAAGATTTAGAGTTTTTAGTAGTGCTAATTTTAAATGGTTTCCAATGAGTGTTTTAGCTTTAAATATTGTAGTCATTTTAATGATTTTAGTTATATTATCCATTATTGTAAGGCGCCTTGAGGTTGCCTGTAAGGCGCCATACAAGAAGCTTATTATTTTTATTTTTAACATTTGAATCAAAATTTTGTTTTACGTATTGGGGCTAGGTAAATAGTCCGTCTCGTTGTGTTAACAACACATGGAATTTGTTTGATATAGCAGGGTTTCGAGCTCATATTTTGAGTCAATATCTTATTCACCCAAAGAAGATTAACCGTTTTATCTCCCGTCTTCCCTGCGTAACGTTTGAGGAGTTGGCAAAACTGAGTGACCCACGGCGAACCGACGTCAAATCTATAGGAGACGTGACCAGGAACCGTTGTATAAAGGATAAAAAAGTCTTCTTCTTGAGGTCCGACGACTCTATCTTTGGTCGATATTTGACGTCGGATTCCTGAATCCCGGACCTTTGACCGAGATAACGGCGCTGAAAATATAGGTCAAATAGGTGCATATAAACCACAGAGAAGTAAGACGCAGAAAATGTGAAAGTATGACAAAGTAACTTATACAACAAACTTTTTAAAATGGTTAAGGCATATGTGAGATAAAGAAATTAAGTAATCGAAACGAGAATTTTGTACAGAGTTGTCGACGAAGGAACTTTTGTTTAGCATTTTTAGATCGAAATTTTGCTAACAATGGCAAAAGGAGGTTATTTTAACATTCAATAACATAAATGATAAAAACCACAAAATGTTTCCATGGAAACATAGAGAGTGAATAAAAACACACACCGTATGCTCGGTCTCTCACTCAGTCAAAATTTCTCTAATATATTTGTGTACATTTCGAAACAATATCTTTTGTAACACCCAGGTGATATAAACTTAATAAGCCAAAAAACGCCTAATCGGAAATGCAGGCTCCCCTACCATTACTTGTAGTTCTTGAAATTAGCAGACGATTTTACCACTCCTAGCCGTTCTATATATCTGATAGAGAAATATTTAGCAATGTAAAGATTTCGATTGAAATACTTACACTGATCCTTGTGACCTAGAAAGGCCTCTATGAAGAAAATTTTCGGCTTTTTCTTCAGTGATGGACAGAGAATTTGGCGAAATGGATTAATGGCGTCCGTCAAGAACAGAAATTTCCCATCTGAGCAGTAAATTCCTTCCTCCGATCCGTGAGACAGGATGAAACATGCGAAGTTACACGTTGTAGAATGATCTTTCTTGGAATATTCCTCCAGCGTTTTCAGCAAATTCTTTTTGGGCATGTCCCTGTATATTTTAACTTCTGACCCAAGCTCGGTGAGGCATTCCATTATTAACCCTTAAAATAAACATTTATTATAATATATATTATAAATATTATATCTTAAAGAATATATATATATATATATATATATATATATATATATATATATATATATATATATATATTGTAAAAAAGTTTGTTTTTTTATTTTCTTTTTACAACCATAAAATATTCACAAAACATTCTATGGAATTGTTTCAACAAAAAAGGGTACTTCTGCTTTGTCTTTCTGACCAAAGACATAAAGCATACAATCACTCATTCTCAATATATATATAGGTATATTTAATTTTTTGTTTTATAAAAAGTAAGCAAGCAGAGGAATTGTTTATCCAAGTGGAACTTAATCAACATCAGTTTGGCAACTTAAACAATAATAATGATTATTAGATTATCTGATATCACATTAAAGACATAAAAGAGTAAATTTTTCTCCTTCGTATACTGTCGCCCGCAGCACGATCTCACATTCTCCAATGTAGTTTATTTTTACTAATTTACGAAATCATTTACTGATTAGGAAGCGAGTATGATGTCTAGCTCCCAGATGTTTCGTACACCTACTTTCATGGTGTCGCAGGGTTTTTAAAAATTGAAAAACCTTCGTTACGTCATTTGGCGCAGCTCATTGTTTTAATTGTTTTTTTTAATTGTGTTTTTGTAAGAGTTAACTTATTTCTAAAATCCTCAGTTCAGTTAAATTCATGATTAACTAGACGATATGTTGACAGGGTACAGTCAAATGTTATACACAACACACGACAAGACTACAATCTCAAAGAAAGCAATTTTGCAAAACCAGCATTACCAGGCGCTGTAAAAAATACTTGAGTTTGAGGACAAAATGTGTCAGTAGAATAAAGGCACAACTCGTATAATACCCTTTTCGTGCAGTGTTAACATTGTTAATATTTAAAGCATGATAATATTAGCGAAAGGGTTGTTACTTTTAAAACTTTCGTTACCAAAATTGGGTATAAATCTAGGGTATAAAATCTCCATATTAGCAAGGCGTGAATATAAAAGTTTTGATTATTACAAAAAGCCAGATTTATCACTTTCTGACACCAGAGATTTAGAAGAGGTAGACGAATATATGTTTTACTGCATTTTTACTTGTTTTCTTCAAACGAACCTCTCTACTGAGAGTGAGCACCCAATAATAAAAACTTACAAACAGTTGTTGCGACAGGATTTTACCTACTTTCGTCGTATTCAGCACCATCCCTGCGTTCTAAACCTTCCTTAGAGAAGTTAATCATATTAAAGATTAGGGTAAAACCCCATCTGGTGCCTTTTACGATATTGGGTTCCGAATAGGCTCTGGCAAGTGAAAGCCCACTGTACCAAGTTTTCAGACGTGTGTTGTCTACTTCATTATGGTTGGGCTTAATTCCTAAAAAGAAATATAAATTTGATAGCTGTGTTTTACAGCACGGCGTCAGTGTGAAAACATTCAGTCCTATTATCGGTAGAAAAACTAAAGGAAACCAAGAGGAAAATATCTGTTGAAAGACGACGGATTAAATTCACCTACAGCTATATTTCTCATATTATAAGCCTTAATAAAAAAACGCAACTAACTACATTTATAAGTAATAGAAATGAATAAACCTTACAGTAATATATATATATATAAGAACATATTTTATATTTGACGAAACAAATGCTTTACCTGACTCAGAGACCTTGCTGTTCTCCGCGGATGTGCAAGTTTTACCAAAATCATCGGTCGATGTAGTATCGGTAGGAAGGCACGATAGAACTTTTACTCTCGGATCTGGATTCCAGTCATCCAACTGAACGGCAGATAATGCATCATTGCACGGCTTACAACCATATAACTGTTCCTCATAGTCTTCTTTTACCCTCGTTTCCAGAAAAGGTGCTATCGGTTCATATGGTTCACATTTATGATTAACACTTTTAACCATGGTTTCGTTGTCCGCTGTCATCGGAGTTGATAGCACGCGGCTTTCTTCCCTTGAATCAATAAGGTTAGCTAATGTATAAGTAAATTTCGAAATCACAATCAACACTTTGCCACCGAACTTTCCTATAATAAAAAGCGTGGTTTCTAAAGCTGTAATTATTCCAGGAACAACAAGAAGGCCAACCCACAAAATCCATGAAATAACGTTGCTACCGCCCGTCACCATAACAAAAAACCAAGTTTTCATTTTCATGCTCTCCAAAAAGAGTTCAATTCTTCAAAACATTGTCCCAGTAGTATCGGGTCGCACTCGCATTATATATCCAGGAATGAGTAAAGAAAGCTCCAAAATATCCGAGGTTTTCCAGAAAAGCTGTGGTTCAGGATATGATGTTCACCACAACACCACAACATCCATCATGTGATATATGAAACAAATGCCCACTGACATGGTTAATACTGAAAAAAAATAACTTGATTATGTATGGTATGTGCAAATAGTTTCCTTTAAATAAAGCACACTTTGTTCTTTCATACGTACTACCTAAGTAATGGAAACACACGGAGCTAGACAGAATTTCAGAGCTCTTATTTTGATAAGTATTATTCAATAAATGTTATTAAAATAACAAGTCCTTTATATACCTGACACCCAAACAAATTTTTCCGAGTAGCTCCAAGTGAAAACACATGTTTTAAATTTATAAATTACAGCAACAAATTCACATACACAATGAGTAACACAAACGGGCGGTGATTACCTCATCTGCAAAGTTTCATAACTCCTATGAAAAATAAACAGTGCTGCATCTATCGTTTAGTAATACGAGGGAAAACTGAACGAACTGTATATTGCAACTAATCGCGAAGAGATTTTAGAATATTTGAATATAAGAACATATAGTGCTGTCAGCCTCAACGTTAAAATTTTCTTATCCATTCCTAACAGTCTTTCCAAACTAATATTTATTTCAGATAAAATAATGTGTCCAAATAGCGACATTATGACAAAACTGACTCAACTTCAAGCCGGCTTTACAGTTTCTTTCCGATCTTTGCTTAATGCTTAATTTGAGTTGCAATTGTAGCTTTGTGTTAGCTTGTGTTTCTTGTATTTTACTGTTCTGATTTCATATCGAAGAATTTTGTACAAGCAATTTAAGTTCTTCTTTTTCATTTCTAGTCAGCTAATGTCTTTTGAATTGATAAAATGCCAAATAAAATCTGATTTGAATTGGCACTGATAGACCTATTGAATAAAGATTTGGTGCCGTGACCTGTAGTGTGTTGACAAACGTAGTGTAGCATCTAATGTAATTATAATGTAAATAAGTATGACGGTAACAAACGTGCTTTATAATTGATATAAAAACGTGTAAACTTAGAATACACAGTCACAGGTGTAATAGCGTTAATATAAACATCAATTGTTTTTAACTGTAAACTACAAATAACTTTATCGTGTAAGCATATAATATGCCAAAAATGCTGTCAATGGAGAGCTGTGTTGCATTATCGTTGGAAAAAGATCAGAACAAACACTGCCCTCTTTAACAATTCAAGCAGTTACCCTGCGTTAAGATACTGCCAGATAATATTTATATATGATAACTATTGCTAGGTAATGACTGCACAATTTCTCGGATCTCCTGGATGGAAGCTATTTTATTTTTTTACTTTGATAGCCTCATTCTCTGCTAAAGATGCTCTAGACAAACATAAAAATAGTGGGGATAAAAAAAAACGATTTTATGTAGCCAAATGTCCACAAGCACAATGAAGCTCAGTTTTTGCTCAAATAAAACAGGAAATAAGTCCATATGGCTGATATTGTCATTTATAAAAATGACGAAATGTAATATAATACAAAGTTACAAGATGAGGATAGTTACAACATCAAATTGAATGATCACACATACACCCCCCCCCATACAATAGAGCAAAAAGTTGGTAAAAACAAGTCCACTATAAATATTAAGGGGATTTCTAGCTTTATATTAGACTAAATCACAATTATAATAATACCAACAACAACAGCAATAATAATAATACCGTGGACGTTATGAACTTTTCATTGACTGTCGCAATGTTACAATGCGGCAAACCGATGCTTCGGTATTAAGTCCCGAAATACTAGAGAGACAACGATTTTATGGACCTTATTTTTACTCTCTTTTCTTTAACTGTAGCCAATGTCTCCAACTTTGTTTTCCTCTTTGCTCCGTCTCTAAGAACTAGACGTGCTTACAAATACCCGGTACGCCATCTTACTTCTGTTTTCATCTGCTCGATAACTTTGATTTGATAATGAAACGATAAATACCTGTAATAAACAATCAGTAACCTCAACTAAATCACTGCTCAATTATGTTCTTTCTAGCTAATGTGTTTAAAAATGGAAATAAGGAAGTGGGCAACCAAACTCTGCATATGGTTAATTCACCGTAAATAGTCCGACAACAAACTTTGTTCTCCTAAATATGCGCCTTATGCATAGCAACTAAAGTCGAAAAATAAAATACATAAACATGACATTAATAATAGTATACATTTTGCCTTCTCGATAATCTGTGTCATAAATTTTGACTTCGGTATGTTCTTACCTAAAGATATGTAGCCTATTGCGAGTTAGGAGCTTTGTTCATACCACTATTGTCGTTGTTTAGTTACTTTTTTCTTTTCTTCAAATGTCTGTCTTCGTGTAGAAAAAAAAAGGCTCGCGGAAGGTTTCAATTAGGCCCTGACGAAGAATAGAATTTCCACAATTGCCTGTTTCCACGGGGAGCCCACAAATTTTGCCAGCGCATATTACAACAACAAAAGCCATTTCTCTGTCATTTTGATGGGAGTGGATTAGAATTATGTTTTGTAAGTTTATGTGCCCGTTGCCTCCATGATAGACGCCGGCATATTCACTGAGTGCAACCTAAAGATAAAATAAAGGTCACCAGGTGTGATAACGGACTTTTACTGACGGCATTACTTGCATCTGATGTTCGATTATTACAATGAGAATACCTTTAAAATCCTTAGCTCTGCTAACCGCAGCAAAATGCGCAGAAAAGTTCTAAGACCGTTTTTGTGTACTCTGTTACAGACATCAGACGAAACGATGTTTAACGTAAACTCTCGAATGAAATTTCATATATCAACTGTGTTCTTAATTTTGTTAATGATATGTTTTATGTTTCAATCAAAACGTGGCTACCTGGCAGTCAGAGGATAAACGGTTACGGTACATAGTCTTTTTGAAAATGGTATTTTCTTCAAGTTTGAATAGTGGCGGTTAGAAAAATAATTCATGTTCGGTTGAAGAATGAATTAGAACATAAAAATAGACGCTTGGAATTCCTGACACTCTGGCCCAAGATGACCATGACAAACCCTATATTTTCGTATGAGAAAATGTATTTGTGTTGCAACCCAGTGGTTGCGCCATTTTACACCAGATAATGAGGTTGAGAACATATAGCAATAAACTATGCAACTTTGAAAATTTTAATGATGTTGTCGTTGACAAATCATCAATTTAATCAATTGGTTGGTCTGATTTGTTGACCTACTGCGTCTCAATGGACCCCTCTTGCTGGTGCATATTAGTACACATTACCTTCCTTTCTTTGGTGTTACAGTGCAGAAAAGAAAATATTTTGGAAACCTTTGTTTCATTTTGAAGACGTGAACATGTGTTTAGTCAAATTATCAGTCATTAAGGGGGGTGCACGAACAGTGCATACGAAAATTACATTGAGGTACATTGCTGCATTGCTGCATTAATAAACCACTTGAATGTTACTTTTAGTATTATAATGAACATGGATGCATGATCGACGCGATATTACACGTATCTATATTTCGGCATGAGTAATTCAAATATAATTTTAAAGATTTTAAATTGAAAACAGGTCTCTTAGAAATTTCCTAATAAGGAAATGTTGAATATTGAATGGGGGTTTGCAATATGAGAATGGAACAATGGAAAGAAAATAAGTAAACGCATGATCAGCACGGAGAAAAAGAGTACTTGTAAATACTTGTGAAATTGTACGAAAAAGGCAGTCAGTAAATAAACGTTCGAAAGCTCCGTTATTCCTCACTATAAAATTATAATAAAGAAATATTCCCTTACCTGGCAAAGTTTAACGTCGTCCACATGAATAAATGGGAGCTGTCATTTGTTCAATGACTTCTCCATTAATCCGTCGACTAGCCGCTTTCATCTAAAAGGCATGCATATCAACTGGCATAGTAACTGATGATTTCCTAAACCACAAACAAATTTCTGGTCATGTAGCCTGTTAAAACGTCGTCATTGCTGCGCTGTATGTCCTCCTGGCGAATTTTGCTTTGCAAGAGTCATTCGGCTCTAACTTTTGCAAATCCAACATGTCAGTACATATAATCTGTCAACATTTCTTCCTTATAAAGTGAAAACAGCACAAGTCTCTAACCTAAAAAGTTCGTACGTTCAGGTATTTTCCAAGTACAGAAATCGTTGCTCTACTTCCTCGAAATTTGGCGCCTACGGCGTGATTTGTTCCTATCTTAGGCGGGTCCTATTAATGGTGCATCTGGAAAACCTGCGCTTAAGCTACACTCTGCCAGGCCCACAGATTGATTTTTCCCCAAGATATTCACAGATATGTCTCTGGCTACTTCACGGCACATTTTCCACTCGTGTTGGAGCAGGAAATAAGTACATTTTAGTTGTCGTGTGTCAGTTCACTATATGGGTGGAAGCGTATCCATTACAGGATCAAAAACATTGGTAAACAGTTTCATTGTTAGGTTTGATGGTCCAACCATCATACATTTCGACATGGGCGCCAATTTTACAAGTGAATTGTTTAGTAATTATCCATTAACAAAACTCGGACCAGTCCGTAAAGGCCGTGTTCGAATGGCGCTGTGGAACGTCAGAATAGGATTAATATTATGCAGTATATAGGGGAGACCGGGGCTAGTTGGACCCCGGGGTAAGTTACTCCAAGCCAATTTATG